TTTAAGGCTCTGGGATATTGTTAATGTATCCTTTTATTTGTATGTTAAATGTTTCATTATATATTTTCTGGTTGTAAAAGTAATAGATGTTAATTTTAGGAAAATATAACAATGTACAAAAATGAAAATAAAAACACTGCTGCTCAAAGTTAACTACTGAAAACACTAATTTTCAGTCACACTCAATCTTGTCTTTTTACACATTTCCCTTGTTTGGCAAATTATCTTAGTTTCTGTTGTTAACAGATTGGGATAACTTTCTAGACATTTTCTGTGTTTTTTTGTTTGTTTTGTGTTTTTTGTTGTTTTTTTTTTTGCTTTCTGTTTTTACATACCTATAAATTTATCTGTATAATTAATTTTTAAAATATATTGATTTTTTTTTTTTTTTTTTTTTTTTTTTACAGAGAGGAAGGGAGAAGGATAGAGAGTTAGAAACATCAATGAAAGAGAAACATCGATCAGCTGCTTTCTGCACACCCCCTACTGGGGATGTGCCCGCAACCAAGGTACATGCCCTTGACCAGAATCAAACCTGGGACCTTTTAGTTCACAGGCTGATGCTCTTTTCAAGCCGCTTCTGCAAGATTATTTTGGGTGATGTTATCTTTGCATCTGCTTTTTTTCAGCCCTTCTAGTGACAGCGATAGCGACACTACTGTTTAATAGATTACCTTTCTCTTTAATTTAGCCAGAGTGTGTTCTGCACAATTACAACTAAAAATCCTCCATAAGCCCTTGCCGGTTTGCTCAGTGCTTAGAGCGTTGGCCTGCAGACTGAAGGGTCAAGGGTTCAATTCTGGTCAAGGGCACAGATCTGGAACCTCCATTCCAAGCTGAATCCCCAGCCCTCGTTGGAATCTGTGTGGGAGGAAATCAGTCAATGTGTCTCTCTCAGGTCAATGTTTCTTTCTGTCCCTCCTTCTCCCTAACATTCTCTCTAAAAAATTAAAGGGAAAAATATCCTCAGGTGAGGATTAACAAAAAACAACAAAATCCTTGATAAGATACTTTTGGTACTGTACACATTGTTTGCTAATTTGCCTCTAAAATTATACCATAGAGATTTTCATTTATTTATTTATTTTTATTTCTTTATTGATTAAGGTTTCACATATTTGTCCTCAACCCCCCATTCCAATCTTCCACCCCTCCCCACTCATGCCCCCACCCCCTATTGTCCTTGACCACTGGTTAGGCTCATCTGTATGCACACGAGCCCTTTGGTTGATCTCTTTTATCCCCACTTTCCCTTTGAGGTCCAACAGTCCGACCCAAGGCTTCTTATCTCAGTCTGTTCTTGTTCATCAGTCTATGTTGTTCACCGTTTCCCTTAGATGAGTGAGATCATGTCCTACTGGAAATAATAGAATAAAAAACGAGACAAGCATTAATCGCTATGCTGAAAGACATATGAATCAGTCTTTAGTGAGTTTCTTTCTGGGCCAACAGTTCTTTTGAGACCCAATTTCCATGTCAAACAGTTCCTTATGTGTACATGTCAGCAATGATATTTCAGTTCTGGATGGTGGACAAACGATGGAAATGCAGGTCCAACCCTTTCTTGCCATAGAGATTTTTAAATACCTGGTACCTGTCCTGGTTTGTAATAAGAAAACTAGTTTTTTTCCTTCCTGAGCTAATTATGCTATGGAGTAATTGTGAATTAACCTCTGTAATCTAAGATTTTGCTATGATTATTCAAATGGTGGTGCTTCAAAAATACTTTTCCTCCCCTGCAAGGTTTGACACTTTATTATTGATTTTGATGTTATTGTAAAAGCTTTTAGCAATCCTGAAACTAACAATTCCTATTTATTTTACTAAAGCAACATACTACCATGTAACAATTTTATAAGTTTTGCTGAGAACTGTAGTCTTTATTTGCCATTTTCTTGGGTAGGGACCTAACTTGTATTTTTAGAATTAAGGAAAGTGAGGGAGTAGAAGGGTATGCCAATATATAGCTTTTCTTCTATTAACGTGCTTAGTAACAAGTTAAATGCTCTTTACATGGCAGGGAAGCTAGGCTCTCACAAACTCCTCAGTTTTTTTCTGCATCAGTCAGAAATTAAGTTGTATATAAATTCCCATATCATATTCAGTCAGCTCAGTTTCAAAGGTAAGGTGATGGGGAGGGTACTGCTGTGGTGAAGGCAGAAAGGGGGTGTATTGTTTGTAGAGAATTTTACTTTATTTTTTAAAATATATTTTATTGATTTTTTACAGAGAGGAAGAGAGAGTGATAGTCAGAAACATCGATGAGAGAGAATCATTGATCAGTCGCCTCTTGCACACCCCCTACTGGGGATGTGCCCGCAACCAAGGTACATGCCCCTGACTGGAATTGAACCTGGGACCCTTCAGTCCACAGGCCGACACTCTATCCACTGAGCCAAACCGGTTTCGGCCGTCTGTAGAGAATTTTAAGGCAATACATTGACTAAAAGGCATATGCTTATAATTATCCTATACCTGGCAATTCTAAACAGTGTCAGTGATAGAATACTGCCATTACAATCACTGTGTAGGCCCAACCCTTACTCCCAACATATGAATGTACCTTGGCATGGATAAGGACATTGTGTCTGAGTGTTCTCCTTTTCCCCCAAATTGAGTTTTAGTTGATAAGCAATCAAAAAATATATGACAAGCTATACAGTATAATTAAACGATGTTTCATTGGTTCCTACATTTAAGTCATGTTAGTAATGATAGTTGCATAGTATGGAAACTCAAGTAAAAAAATGGTCTGTTGCCCTAGCTGGTTTGGCTCAGTGGATAGAGCATTACTTTACAGACTGAAGGGTCCCAGGTTTGATTCAAGTCAAGGGCACATGACTTGGTTACAAGCTGGATCCCCAGTCCTGATCTGGGGCTCTAGTAAAGGGCTCAGGTTGGGGTGTGTGTGGGATGTAACCCATCAATGTCTCTCTCACATCTATGTTTCTCTCTGTCTCTCCCCGTCTCCCTTCCACTCTCTAAGTCAATAGAAAAATATCCTCTAGTGAGGATTCACAACAACAACAAAATAGGTTTATTGTCTAGCTGGTTTGGCTCAGTGGATAGAGTGTTAGCCCACAGACTGAAGGGGCACTGGTTTGATTCTAGTCAGGGGCACCTACTTCGGTTGCAGGCTCTTTTGCTGGCATTGGTCCGGATGGGTGTTGGGGGGCAACCAATTGATGTGTCCTCTGACATCTATGTTTCTCTCTCTGTCTCTCCCCTTGCCTTTCACTCTCCTAAAAATCAATGAAAAAATATCTTTCAGTGAGGATTAACAAACAACAACCACCGTATTAAAAAGTTACTGGGGAATTTCATGGGACAGTTGTGGGAAGTATAGTTAGGCCTCCCAGAAGCTGAGTCTTCTTAGCAACTCTGGGGGCTCTGAAGTTCCACCTATCCACAGCCCTGCGTTGGTTGCCCATTTTTCAGTGTTAGTGATACCTTAAAGGCTGATTTTTGGGGTTTGTTTTTGGTTTTTGGTTTTGGTTTTTTTTAGCTTCATGATGCATGTCAGTCGTAAGAACTCCCTTAATGTAGACAGAATTTATAACAACCTCCTGATATTTGGCTCAGTGTGTACCAGTTATTTTTCATGAAATCTGAATCTGAGTATATGCTTGAAAGCATCTTGCCCTTTGAATGCACTTTCTGGTGCCTGCCATCCAGGAGAAGGGCCTATAACTGAGAAGACAGTTAAAAAAGTAACTTTTGGGCCCTACCTGCATGGCTCAGTGGTTGAGAATTGACCTGTGAACTGTTCCTGGCCAGGGCACATGCTCAGGCTGCAGGTCCCATCCCCAGTGAGGAGCATGCAGGAGGCAGCTGAGTTTTTATCTCATGGATATTTCTATTTCTCCCTTACTCTGAAATCAATTCAAAATATTTTTAAAGCCGAAACCGGTTTGGCTCAGCGGTAGAGCGTCGGTCTGCGGACTGAAAGGTCCCAGGCTCAATTCCGGCAAACGGCATGTACATTGGTTGCGGGCACATCCCCGATAGGGGGTGTGCAAGAGGCAGCTGGTCGATGTTTCTCTCTCATCGATGTTTCCAGCTCTCTATCTCTCTCCCTTCCTCTCTGTAAGAAAATCAGTAAAATATATTAAAAAAAATATTTTTAAAAAATAATTTTTTGGAAAGGAAGTACATTTTGAAAGACATTAATATATTTGAGAAGGAACAAGCCCAGTTTGGTGGAATGAGTGAGAAAAGTGTATTTGTGCATCCTGCTTTCTTCTCCATCTTTTGAATACTCTTTTTCCCCACCCTCTATGTTATGATACATTTCTACTTTTCACTTGTGTTTCTGGTTACATGAAGTATGCAAAAGATTATTTTAGGTGGTAAATTTACATAATTACGTTGTGGTCTTTAAGCAATAGCTAGAAAGCAAGGGGCAGGAGTAAGAAATTAGGGAACATCTGTAGCGCTATAAACAATTTTTAAAAAAGAATATACACTTTCAGGGCAGATTTGGAAAAGCACATTAATGCAAGGCAGATTGCTGTTTTTGACTTGGGAGGAAATTAATTTCCAGCAGTAGAATCAGACTCAAAGGTCTGTATCAGTTTAGATGGCAATAAAAATTGTATAATCTGTAAAACCGCTCTAGATACTAACTCAAAAATTTGCTCTAGATACACAGACACATACTAATGTCAAAGATATGTGAATAATTTGAATAAATTTTATGACATTTGCAAGCAAATTGAGGTAAAGCAGTATTTCTATATTAATAGTATTGTATAGAGATATTTTTTATTATACAGGTAGCAAATTTTATATACCGTAGATACATTTCAAGTTCATCTACTCAAAAGGATTTATATTATCAAATTAAGCCAAAAACTTAAGAAATATTACTTATTTAATATTAATTTATCATTAATTTACTTAATATTGGGTTTTAGTTCACATTTAAGTAATGAAAAACCTAAGTCTTTTTTTAGTGCACTAACTTTTAAAGTTTACAAGTACGTCCTTTGATTATTTAGCAGGTAACATCTAAAGGAACTGGTTTAAATCCTAATGCCAAAGTGTGGCAAGAAATTCCTCATGGAAATACTGATGTCACGCCAGTAACTCATGGAACTGAAAGCTCTTGGCATGAAACATCAGCAACATCTGGGTCTCATCCTGAGGGTGAGTTCTAAACATTGTCAGAACAAAACACATTTTGGTTAAACATATCCCCAAATTAATTTAGAGAACTTAGGGTATATCCTTTGATTATTTGATTAAATATGTTTATAACTGTAGTTTGTTTATAATTCTCATATCTAGTATGAATGGTCACCAATTTCAAGCAGAAACTATATCTTTGTGTCTAGCCTTTAAGTCCATTTATTTAATGATATTTACAAGTTAGTGTTGATCTACTACTTATTTTACCTTGGACAAATGACTTTTCCCATCCTTGTGTCCTTAATCTACAAATTAAACAACAATAAAAATAGTAATAATAATTTTGACAGAATTTAGTGAGTAAAAGTTGTCTGATACATAGATAGTGCTATATAAGTTTAAGCTATTGTTAACCATTTTAGCTTATCCATAATTGTCAAAACTTAACTCCCTTAGGAAGAGTACCCTTACTTAATATCATGTGGACATTTTACCAACTGGTAGATTCCCTGAAATCTTGTTATATAAGACATAGGATCCATAGTTCCTAAAGATAAGATTGGAAGAATTTCTATTTATTTCATTATGTTTTCTTTCATACAGGTAATACAGAGCTTCCAGATGATATGTGTAAGGAATATGAAGTAATGTATTCATCTTGTGAAACCACAAGAAATTCTACAGGCATTGAAGAATCAACTAATGGAATGATTTTAGCGCCAGAAGATCTGAATTACCAAATATATGACATTTCCGGTAAGCTTTAGGTTTTATGCTAGTCGTCTTACCCCATCTACCTTCCACCATCACCCCCAAGTCTATTTATCATTGTTCTAATTAAATTGTGGTTGATTAGTTTATTTTCTTATTGTGAAAGAAGTTTATGTTAATAAAATGCTATTAGGTGATATCAATAAATACTGTTTTAAAATGGCTATATGTGAAAATTATATTAAAAATATTAACTTTAAATTTCCTATTAAAAGAAAGTGAGATTCAAGATGAAAGGGAAAAAATATTCAAAATAGTTGAAAGAAACCTAAATTACAATTTTTCATAGGATCCAATTTTGTTGGGATTAGTGCAAGTTCTGTCAATTTTCTCGTCACATTTTTCCCCTCTAAATATTTATGGGTGAAATCTGACATTGGAACTTCATTGTTCCTATGACCCATCACTTTGTTACTGTGAAATGCATTTATAAATGTGAAGTTGCAGGGATTAATTATAAGAAAAAAGCTGTATTAAAAATATGGTTCCACTACAACTTAACCTGTGAGACGTGTTTTTCTCTTTTTAATATTCACTTAATATTTATGGATTAGTAGTTGATTGGATTTAAAATGGATGAAATCTAAAGGAAACTAAAATTGGACCATAGGTCCTCTTGACCTAACTTAATTTTTCTAATTTCTGAAGGGTCTCTTTGGAAAATAAGTGTAATGGGAGGGGGTAGGCATTTCTGTCTTTGCCTTCACTCAAGGTATATAAATCTTTGTCTTCAATATTCTTATTTATTATAAATATTTGCATTAGACTTTTAAAATTTGTTGGTTTATAAGTTGATTTCAGAAGTGGAATGAGATGGTATTTCCATATAATAATTTAAGGTGGTAGTCTCTACTTTCTATTAAGGTCTAATATACCTAGCTAGTGGCTACTTTGTTGTTTGTTTGCCTTAGTTTTTTTTTTAATATATATTTTATTGACTTTGTACAGAGAGGAAGGGAAAGAGATACAGAGTTAGAAACATCGATGAGAGAGAATCATCGATCAGCTGCCTCTTGCACACCCCCCACTGGGGATATGCCCGCAACCAAGGTACATGCCCTTGACCGGAATCGAACCCGGGACCTTTGAGTCCCCAAGCCGATGCTCTGTCCATTGAGCCAAACCGGTTTCGGCTGTTTGCCTTAGTTTTTAATATATTATTGATTTCAGAGAGGAAAAGAGAGGGAGAGATAGAGACCCGAAGGATGAGAGAGAAGCATTGATTGGCTGCCTCCTGCACACCTCACACTGGGTGTCATGCTCGCAACCCGGGCATGTTCCCTGACCGAGAATCAAACCATGACCTAGTTCATAGTTGGATTCTCAACCACTGAGCCATGATGGCTGGGCATTACTGGCTGGCTACTTTGAACATAGAATTAGTTTAAGTGATGTGGCAACCAGTTGATATTTTTATAAATTTGCTATAATGATATTGAAAGGTTAAATGAAGTTATTGCTCATTTAGCTAGTAATTGAATAGATGAATTGTGTATTAGAAGGATTCTATTTACATAAAAATAGAATGCTTATATTTATTTTAATGAAGTTAATTTAATATCTAATATAACTGAATTTTGAATAGTAAGATAACGTAATGGTTAAATCTTGACCAGAATTTATCTTTTTTATATATTTTTTATTGATTTCAAGGGAGAGAGAGAAAGAAACATCAATGATGAGAGAGAATCATGGATCAGCTGCCTCCTGCACGCCCCTGACTGGGTGGGGATCGAGCCCACAACCCAGGCATGTGCTCTTGACTGGAATCGAGGGACCCTTCAGTTCAAAGGCCCACACTCCATCCACTGAGTCAAACCAGCCAGGGCAGAATTTATCTTTATATATATTCTATTGTCTGTACATTTAAAATAAATTAATCATTAATGCTTTTGAAGAAGAGGACAGCTCAGTCAAGTGGCTTGATTGTCATCCTGGGCAGTAAAAAGTTGCTAGTTCAATTCCTGGTCAGGGCACATATAGTATCTGGGTTTCAGGTTTGATTATCCAGTCAGGAAGCATATAGAAGGCAACTAACCAATGTTTCTCTCTCACATTGATGTTTCTTTTTCTTTTCCCTCTCTCCCTCCCTTCCTACCTTCCTCCCAGCATGTCCTCAGGTGAGAATTTAAAACAAAAAAAAGGACAAATTGTATGCTTTGACTCTGTAATGTTTTGTGTAAGATAGTTTGAGTCTCCCCCAAAAAAGGCTCATGTTCTGGGTTTAAATAATAGAAAGTATAGGAGACTATTATAGAGTTGATCTGAAGACATTTGAGTACTTTAAATATTCATGGGAAGATAATGGATAATGGTGTGCTAAAATTAAGGAGTGAAAAAAAAAATATTAAGTGATAGAAGTTGAGCCCAGCTGGTGTGATTCAGTAGTGAGCATTGAACTATGAACATGAACCAGGAGGTCATGGTTCCATTTCTGGTTAGGGCACATGCCTAGGTTGTGGGCTTGATTTCTAGTAGCGGGTGCGTAGGAATCAGCTGATTGATGCTTTCTCTCATTGATGTTTCTATTTCTATTCCTCTCTAAAAAGTCAATGAAAACATGAAAAAAAGATAGTTTAATGAGTGTGACCAATATCAGATGTACTGTGTGTGTATATATCCCATTTTTGTCTAGTCATTAAATTTAGATTAATATCAAATCTTGTTCATTATTTTTAAAGTATTTAAGGTAGTATTGTACAATATGTTAGCAATAAGTATAGCATTAATGGTGCTTTGTTAATTAATTGATAAACATTTTTAAACTGATGAAATCTGTAAAGAATGAAGAATCGATTGGTTGAAAGAAATTAGTTGGACCTTGAGTGATCTCAATTGTAAAAAATAATTTAATTTTATGAATTTACTTTGTGATTTACTCTGAGTATAACAATATGTAAAGTTAACCACTTACAGTAATTTGTATGAACTTTTTCCCTCTTATTTTCTACCATTAGGAGAAAGCAATTCAGCAATTTCCACAGAAGACCTAAAAGAATGCCTGAAGAAACAATTGGAATTCTGTTTCTCACGGTATACTATCACTGCCTTTTTGTGTGGATATTCCTCCTTTTTTTTTTCCTCTTTATTGTTTGGTTGTTAGATGTAAAATACCTGGAAGAATGGTGGTTTTAATTTCCTTCAGTTATGTATTTTGGTATCATTCTTTTATATTAACTAGATTTAAGGATATAATCTTCAAGCATGTCAAACTGAAAGGCTAATACAGGCCAAATAAACCTTTATGTGGGCTGCGAAACAAACAAATAAACACAAAACAACAAAAGCTTCAATTTTTATAGAAACATAGGTTTCTTACAATAGAGACATGCTGAATAGAAAGGGCTGAAATAAACGAGTAATCATTAACATAAAATAATAGAATATTTTAATAAAAATTACTATTTTTTCTTGAACATTAACTTACCAGACACTGAATAACTGCACAAATTAATAAGTGTAATGCAAAGAAAACTATTTTTCTTATTCTCTCAAAACAAAGTATTTCCTGATGCGCACACCAAACAAGTCAGTACAAGACTAATGATGTGGCACTTGGCGCTAAAATATCCAGTGCTGTACTAATGAGAGAAATGGTGCGCCTGCGAGTAAGGGGCGTAAGAGAAATGAATGCAAGGCCATCGGTCAGTCATTAGCGAATGCTGTAGTTTGTTGTTATAACTGTGTAATAGGATATTGTAAAAATTAAGTTAAAAATTTTTATTAAAACATTTCTTACATACTGTTTATTGGCTGGGCTACAAAAATATTCATTTCAGGCTGTGAGTTTGACATTGCTTCAATTGGATATGCAAAGATATTCTCAGTAGAAAGATAATGAAATTTCTCTTGGATGCCTTTTTAAAAAAATACATTTTGATTGATTCCAGAGAGGAATATAGAAGGGGAGAGAGAGAGTGAAAGAGAGAAACATCAATGATAACAGGTAATCACTGATTGGCTGCCTCCTGCATGCCCCCTATTGGGAATTGAGCCTACAGCCTGGGCATGTGTCCTGTGGGAATCCATCTGTGACCTTTTGGTTCATGGGTCAACACTCAACCACTGAGCCACACTGACCAGGCTAACAATTTTAATTAATTTGAGAGAAAGAGAGAGACATCTATTGGTTGTTCCACTTACTTATACATTCATTGGTTGCTTCTTCTTCTTTTTTTTTTTAATATATATTTTATTGATATTTTACAGACAGGAGGGGAGAGAGAAGATAGAGAGTCAGGAATATCGATGAGAGAGAGACATCCATCAGTTGCCTCCTACACACCCCCTACTGGGGATATTCCAGCAACCAAGATACATGCCCTTGACCGGAATTGAACCTGGGACCCTTCAGGCCACAGGCCGACATTCTATCCACTGAGCCAAACCGGTTTCGGCATTGATTGCTTCTTGTATGTGTCCTGGCCAGAGATTGAACCCATAATCTTCGTGTATTGGGAAAACGCTATAACCAACTGAATTACCTAGCCAGGGCCTCATGTGTGTTTTTAAAGCAAACATGATGATTTGAACCTCCTGATTTGCATGATTTTATGGGGTTTTCTTGGTCAAGTGAAGAGTGAACTATTTTCAGAGGTCACCTCAGTCTGCTTTTGGAAAAAGGCTTTTATTTCTTTAGACACAGTACACTCTCAGCTTAGGTTTAATTGATTCCTCATCTAAAACATCTCCCTTTCCTTGTTTTCATAGTCTGGTACTGGTCCTACTATAAAAGCAAGAACCTTCTGGCTTTCTTTTCTCCAGTCAGATACAGTTCATTTTCTGTAACATACTTGTAATAGTTATTTTAAAATCTTTGCCTATTAACTGGAACATTTGTGTGTCTGCTAATATTCTGAGTTTTTTCTCTTGATTCTGTCACAATTTTCCTGCCTTTTTGCATGTCATAAATTTTGATTATATGCTGGACATTACTTATAAAAGAAGCTAGGAGCTAATATAATTTTTCCCTCTAGAAAAGATTTGAGCTTTCTGCTGGTAGGCAGAAGCAAAATGATTGCTTCAACCCAGTTAGGAATCAAGCTAGGTCAGGGCTGAGCAGCCATTTTAATTAGATTGGGTTCATCTCTAATTTATGTATATTCCTTAGGCATGGACTTCTCAGGCTTTTGATTTAGAAGCTGGCGGTTTTCTTTTACGTCAGTCCTGAAACATCAAGGAAGATTTAGTTGTCTTCTTCAGAGGCTTGAGATTAGCTCTTTAGCCTCTTACCTCATACAGCTCTAAAATCGGGCAAATGTCTTGTGGAGGAAACCTGTCTTGTGTTTGATGCAAGGTTCATTTTTTCCCCCCTGGAACTTCCACAAGACACAGAGGTTTTATCTTTTCAACTTGACTTCCAATCTCTCATCTCTGACCTTCGAACTCAAGTAAACATAGTTGTGTGGTGGAGGGCTTCTTTAGTTTCAATCCATAATGCCAGTCCTGTGCAGCTGCTGAAAGCTTTGCTGGCTTTACTCTGCTCCAGGATCTGCAAATGCCCTCAAGGAAAAAGATCATCTTTCTGGAATTCAATTTTGTTCTTGTAGCTTCCACAGCTCTTCTTTTATCTTTGAACACATAATTGTTTCAAGCCTTTTTAGTTTTGCAGTGGAAGCTCTTGTTTGCAATAATTACCACATTTTGCTCAGCATGATGTTACAGTTCAAAAGCTGGGTGACTGATTGACATTTGTAGGTCAGCAAAATGGCCATCAGTACATGTCATATATTAGTCCTAATTATTCAAACCTAGATATTACATCCATTAAGTTGTCTTACTTCTGTGGAGTATAGTTTCTTTAAGGGTTTGACACTATATATATATAAAAGCTCAGTGACTGAAAGGCAGAATGACTGGTGGCTGTGATGTGCACTGGGGTAACCAACCAGCCTGATCCAGGCCCTGATCCCCTACCCCCAGCCAGCCCAGCTCGGATCTGCCCCCAATAAACCAATCAGGGTGGGACTCGCGCATACATGATACATATAAAGCTCTCGCTGGTGCCAGTTGTACATGTGTGTTTTGATCTGTCACTGTCCATTGTGAATTTGTGTGAATTTGGTTGATACTTCTATGATAGAGAAAGGGCAGATAGTGATATTAAAATATTGCTTCTAATTACCTTTCAATGTGCACAAATCTATGCACCAGGCCACTAGTGTTTTATAAGAATAGACCTGCTAAAAATCAGAACAAATTCAGGCTACAACTTTTTAGTTATGCAAATATTTTTATTGTTGTCTTATTTTCAAGTTTGTTTTTGTTTTGTTTTTTAAATATATTTTATTGATTTTTAACAGAGAGAAAGGGAGAGATAGAGAGCTAGAAACGTCGATGAGAGAGAAACATTGACCAGCTGTCTCCTGCACTCGCCCCACCGGGGATGTGCTTGCAACCAAGGTACATGCCCCTGACCGAAATCGAACCTGGGACCTTTCAGTCTGCAGACCGACGCTCTACCACTGAGCCAAACCGGCTTCGGCAAGTTCTTAAAGAATTTTTCAGCTCATTTGGTTAGAATGTGGTCCCAGTGTGCCAAGGTTGCAGGTTTGATATCCCCCAGCAGGGCACATAGAAGAATCAACCAAAGTATGCAGAAATAAGTAGAACAACAAATCGATGTCTCTCTCCCATTTTTAAAGTTCTTATTTTTAAAAAGTTTTTTATTAGGGTGATGCTGATATAAGTATGTTTCTCTTTTGGTGTTGAATTGAATTTAACCTTTACTGGTTTTCCCGGTATTCTCAGTTTTCTTCCCAAAACAAATAACTACCACCTGTTGACATTTGTAACCTTTAAAATGTAATTACTACTCTGTTCTAATATAATTTGAATTTAAAGGCCTTTGATCCTACTCTTTGCCAAGTACTAGGACTTTGGAACATGTTTGAACAACAAAGGCCCTTTCTGGCTGGGGAGGTGGGGGGGGACAAAACAGTAAAAGTAATAAATAAGCAAATTAGAAATGTTATGAGTTAATCATTATGGAAAATATTAAATAAATAGAGCAGTGTAAGCAAGGGAAGGAACATCAGTAGTACTTGGGTGGTTTCAGTTTTAAATAGATCATTAAGAAGGTGGATTTTGCCGAAACTGGTTTGGCTCAGTGGATAGAACGTCAGCCTGCAGACTGAAAGGTCCCGGGTTTGATTCTGGTCAAGGGCATGTACCTTGGTTGTGGGCACATCCCCAGTAGGGGGTGTGCAAGAGGCAGCTGGTTGATGTTTTTTCTCTCATTGATGTTTCTAAAACTATCCCTTTCCCTTCCTCTCTGTAAAAAATTAATAATAATATTTTTAAAGAAGAAGAAGAAGAAGAAGGATGCAGCTTTTAAGCATAGACTTCTTGATATTTATAACCAGACTGTTTCAAAGATTTGATGTGAACAAGATAGGGATTTTATTTTACTTCAGTTTGTTAAATAATATTTTATGTGTACGATAAAAGTGTTTACATACTTAAAAAATATATATATATATATATATATATATATATATATATATATATATATATATATATAATTTATTGACCTTTTTACAGAGAGGAAGGGAGAAGGAGAGAGAGCTAGAAACATCTACCAACTGCCTCATGCACACTCCCCACTGGGGACGTGCCCCCAACCAAGGCACATGCCCTGACTGGAACCGAACCTGGGACCCCTCAGTCTGCAGGCAGATGATCTATTCATTAAACCAAACCGGTCAGGGCTACATACTTTGTAAAATGTATCTTAAAGAATTTTTTAGTCTTAATTTTTTTTTTCCTAATTAGCAGTATTCATGCCTTAGATAAACCTCATTGGCTCTGATACTACCACTGTGTAAAAGTTTTTTTTGTTTTGTTTTGTTTTTAATCCTCACCTCAGGATATTTTTCATTTGAATTCTAGAGAGGGAAAGACAGAGAAATTATCCATGTGAGAGAAACAAGTCAATTGGTTGCCTCATGCATGTGCCCTGAACAGGCTGGGGAGGAGTCTGCAACTAAGGTACATGCCCCTGATTGTAATTGAACCAGGGACCCTTCAGTTCACAGGCCAACGCTCTATCCATTGAGCCAAACTGGCCAAGGCATAGTCTTAATTTTTTTTAATATTTTAAATTTATTACTTAAATATAAAATAAAGTAAACATTTATAAACAAATGCTAACATTCAGAAACTTAAAATCTTTCACAGTCCAACTCATGGCTTAAACTGCATATTCTAACATCAGTGATAAAGTGTTTATAAGATGGAACTACACTTTTATATAATACTTTGTAACATACTTTTAAATTTAATATTAAAGCCTCTTCATATTAATATAATTCCATAAAATTTCTTATTCAAAACTGTTGGGCCCAAAATTGAAGGCATTAAGCAAAAAACAAAACAAAGAAAATAACTCAGCGATACAGACAATAAATAGTATGGTGATTACAAGAGCGAAAGGAAGTGGTGAGGGGTGGTAGAAAAAAGTATAGGGGGCATAAATAGTGATGGAAGGAGACTTGGCTTGCAGTGATGAACTCACAATACAGTATACAGATGATATATTATAGAATTGTACATCTGAAACCTGTACAATTTTATTAACCAACTAGTGGCCTGCTGCACAAAATTGGTGCAAGGCGGGTGTCCCCTCAGCCCAACCTGCACCCTCTCTAATCAGGGACTCCTTGGGGAATTGTCCGGCTGCCAGTTTACCAGTGGGAGGACATCCCTCTTGTAATCTGGGACTGTTGGCTCCTAGCTGCTCACCTGCCTGTCTGATCTTTATTGTTCAGATTATTACAATAGTTTCTTTTTTGCCCCCATAGCTCCCCTCCACCTGGTTCCCACCCCACCCTCTGCCCTTACCTCCTCCACACTGTCCTCATCCATAGGTGTACATTTTTGTCCAGTCTCTTCCTACACCTCTCATACCGCTTTCCCCTGAGAATTGTCAGTCCACTCCCTTTCTATGCCCTTGATTCTTTTATATTCATCTATTTATTCTGTTCTTCGGATTTTTAATTCACTTGGTTTTTTGGTTTACTTGTTGATAGATATGTATTTGCTGTTCATAATTTTTATCTTTACTTTTTTCTTCTTTTTAAAGAATAACTTTCAATATTTCATATAATACTGGTTTGGTGGTGGTGCACTCCTTTAGTTTTTTCTTATCTGTAAAGCTCTTTAGCTAACCTTACATTCTGAATGATAACTTTGCTGGGTAGAGTAATCTTGGTTGTAGGTTCTTGCTATTCATTACTTTGAATATTTCTTGCCACTTCCGTCTGGCCTGCATAGTTTCTGTTGAGAAATCAGCTGACAATTGTATGGGTGCTCCCTTGTAGGCAATTAACTTTTTCTCTTGCTGCTTTTAGTATTTACATATTAGGATGTCACATGAATAAATTCAATAAAAAGGGCAATAATAAACTATTGGTCCCAATGTATTTGGAGATTCAGAATCTTTCTGGAAGTTGTTAAAGCACATCTATTGTATATTATATATTTTTATAATTATGTTATTTCTGTAGCATAATTTTATTTTCTTAGTGATAAAAGTGAATTCAGCATCTCTTTAGGTACTTTAAGGAATTGTTTGTTTTGTAGGACTGTTGCTTATGTTTATTTTTTTCCCCCAGAGAGAATTTGTCTAAGGATCTTTACCTGATATCTCAAATGGATAGTGATCAGTTCGTTCCAATTTGGACAGTTGCCAACATGGAAGCAGTAAAAAAGTTAACCACAGACCCGGATCTGATTCTTGAAGTATTGAGATGTATGTAAAGCAGACCTTTTAACTCACTCTTTAAGTAAAAAAAATTTAATGTTCTTTTTATTTCTGATTTGACAGAATTGTTTTTAAGTTTCTGGTTTTTATTACTGTATTCCAATCATTTATCTTTACTGACTGGTATATATAGCTTCTGTATCAGTTTTATACCTTCATTGTTAATCTTGATACCCAGTTACATATATAAGCAATTAAATCTCAGTTTTCTGGGCTATTAGAAAGTTTTATGTATCATTTTCACACTCTTTAAAGTAATCTCAAACTTTTGAACCCATGTAGTACATTTTACATATATCACATACCCACACACAACAAATGCTACACAGATTAATACTAAAGGCTTACAACAATTCAGTTTTTTTTAGTCTAAACTGATTCACAACCTATTAAAGAGTTGTAACCTACAGTTTGACAAACACTGCTCTAAAATTTGGCAAGAAATTTATGTTTTGTTTGAGGTTCTAAGAACTTTTAGTGATGTTTGTATCTTGTAAGTATTTCTTGGTAACCTGTCTTATGTGGTTTTTGCTAAGTACTAGACTGTATAAAGGCAGATCTTAATTTTTTTAATGAAATATGTTGCTGGAAATGTTTAAAAGTTAAATATAGCAAGTGCAATAATAGACTTACTGCATTTTGTGAAATAATCTCTGGTTTGTAGACATCATTTCTTAAAATGAAACAATCTGTATGTAATTCTTGGTTTAAGCATCTCCCCCCCCCCCCCCCCTCTTCCTCTCTCCCTCTCCCTCTCCCTCTCTCTCTCTCTCTCTCTCTCTCTCTCTCTCTCTCTCTATATATATATATATATATATATATATATATATATATATATATATATATATAAAATGATTTCACAAAGCTGAGGTGAGGGAGAAGGAGAGATAGAAACATAACTGATGAGAGAGAATCATTGATGGGCTGCCTACTGCACAGACCCTACTGGGGATCAAGCTCACAACCTGGGCGTGTGCTCTTAACTGGAATTGAACCTGGGACCCTTCAGTCCATAGGCTGAGTTCTATCCACTGAGCCAAACCAGCTCAAACTAGACTGTAATTTTAAGAAGAGTTTCTTAACATATTAAGACTTACTTCATTCCCCCAAATAGGAAATAAATAATGTGGTAAATTTATACGGAGAAATTGCCTTATTATATATGTGTTGCATGTTCCTTGAAGGCTTTTTTCCCCCCAACCACAAAACAATGGCAAGTCAGAAAGTAGGTACTCTGATTTTGTTCAAAGAATAATATTTGACAGTGTTCTTTGTATAATCTCAAAATATTTTATTATAACTTTACTCTTTGATTTTACAACTTACTTTCTTTGGGATAATAACTTCTGCTAATTAGTTGGAAATAGAAATGAATAGCTTGTTTTTAATGGCATTACTGTCTACTTGTCACTTTTGAATGACATCTTTTTTAAAATTTCAGCTTCTCCCATGGTACAAGTTGATGAGAAGGGCGAGAAAGTGAGACCAAGTCATAAGCGTTGTATCGTGATTCTAAGAGAGATTCCTGAAACAACACCAATAGAGGTAAATTATTAGAATTGTTAAAGCTAAGTATTCTTTACCTTTTAAGTTAGAGGAGTTAAAATAAACAAGCAAAGTGTGTCAGTGTCCTCATCAGTTTCTGTGAAAAGGATAAATACTAACTTGTTTAGTAAACCGAAATTTTTGAAGAATGGGGAAGAGGGAGGAAGAAGATACGATTGTATGTTCTAAGTAGGGGAGACTGAAACTTTCAATATATTTATTTGACTAAATGGCAATTAAAATATAAACAGGTGCTTTTGGAAACTTGAGATTCATCTGAAAGAAATGAAGAAGAAAAATATGAATAAGAATTAATGGGTCAGGACTAACCTGTCTGGTTAGCAAAATATAAAGGAAAATTGCAGCAGCCCAGATGGTGTTGCTCAGTGGTTGAACATTGACCTATGAGCTAGGATGGTTGTATTCCGGGTCAGGGCATATACCTGGATTGCAGGCTCTATCCCCAGTGTATAGAATGCAAAAGGCAGCTGAGCGGTGAGTCTCTCATCATTGATGTTTCTATTTGCCTTTCCCTCTTTCTTCCTCTCAGAAAACAATAAAAAAAAAATTGTATATTAAAGCAAAGCTGCAGTTATAAAGATACTATAGTATAGATACAAAAGTAAAATAATACTTGAATGAAGCAGTATAATTCAGAAATAGGCTCTTTTATACAACAATGTATTTATAATAGCATTTTCTTGATAATTAAGTTCTTCTAAGTATTGTCTAATATACTTCAGTTATTTAAAAGTTTCAGGTTTTACAGACAAAGTTAACTGAGCTTTAGTATGGTTAAATCAGTTTGCTAAGGACACATGGACTGTTCAAATGACAGAGTCTGGATTTGAATTTGATCTCTCTGATTTCAAAGCCTGTGTTTCTTAACCACTAAGCCAGAGAACTTCGCACTGAATTGTCATGTTAAGGCATAGTAAATTTGAGAAGAGGAGAATTAATCAGTTACTGATAGATGGCAATTGAGTAACCAGGTTAGATTTTTGCCACCTAACATATTCATCTTTTTGTTCAGAGTTCATTTAGTGTTATATCTCCAGAATGCAGTGAGAGAAATTGGAAAAGAATCTCTCACAAGATCTTTGATTTAAAATTATGAACTATGTCAAAAATAACAAATTGAAAGGAAGATTGCAGAATAGGAAGAATATTTGCAATATTAAGAAACAATGGAGAGTATATGCAAGCCTGAATTCTAGATCAAAATTGCCTCAATTTGAATTCTAGTCTTTTTACTTGCTAGTTCTATGACCTTGGAAAGTTAACTTGACCCTCTTTTGCCTCCTTTTTCTTATTTGTTAAATGGGATATTAGTAACAATTCATAAAATTTTTGTGAGAAGTTAGTATATAAAGGGCAGTAGAAAGCATATAAAAGCATTCTAAATTTAGACATTACTATAATTTAAAAATATATGTATTTTTGTTGATTTCTGAGAAAGGGGGAAGGAGGGAGGCAGTGAGAGAGAGAGAGAGGGAGGGAGGGAGGGAAGGAGAGAGGGAAGGAAGGAGGGAGGGAGGGAGGGAAAAAAAAACATCAATGATGAGAGAATCATTGATTGCCTGCCTCCTGCAAGCCCCTATTGGGAATTGAACCATGACTTTCTGGTTCATAGGACCATGCTCAACCCTGAGCCATGCTATCTTTATTATTATCACTAGAAGTCACACACATGGAAAACATTAAATAAAAGGAACAAGGCAGCAACATACTGTTCCTTAAAGAAAAGTATATCCGGCTGGCATGACTCAGGGTTGAGCATTGTCATGTGCACCAGGAGGTCCGGGCACATGTCTGGGTTGTAGACGCCATCCCTAGTGTAGGGGGTGTGGGAGATTGCTGATTAATGAATCTCTCTCACCATTGATGTTTCTCTCTTTCCTCTCTTTCTCTCTGAAATCAATAATATTACATTTAAAAAAAAAGAAAAAGAGCAAGTACAGATTATTAAAATAGCCAGAGAATGTCAACCTAGGCCCTAAAAACTAAAATTCAGATTAAAATGAGATATGGGTCCTGCCAGTGTTGCTCAGTGATTGAGCGAGCACCAAGGTATGAATCAGAAAGTCCTGGTTCCATTCATACTGATATTTCACCATGACAAAAAAATCTCTCTCAGGCAACAAACAAAGGGAAGAATGCTTTTGTTGTTGGGGAAATTGAAGATTAGCACAACTTTTAAACATTTAGAGGCCATCAAGAGTGCTAATGTTACTGTAAGGGTGTGAAAGTGCACACAAAACAATAATCAGACAATTGAATAAGTAGAAAAATTGTTGATTTGAGTAAAGGAATAGCAGTGATACATGAAAAGTTAGCTTATATTAGATGTACTATTCATAATAATAAAAGGCTAATATGCAAATAATTATCATGCTGTGATGCCATAGCGATTGATCAGCAGAGACTTTGTGGCTCAGGGCAGGGCCGGGGAACCTCAGGCTGCACCCCCAACCCTGGCCCCAGACCAGGGGACTTGAGGCTGCGCCCTCCCCGCTGCCAGGCAAGGCTTGATGAAGGTGGGGCTTGCCAGGTGTGGGTCTCCTGCATTTTCAAAGCCCATGGAGTTGGTGGGTGGGGACTTTGACTCTGGGCCCTGTGGCACACCCCAGACTCTTGACAGGAAGGAGATTTTCATATACATTTTACTAATTTTCTTTCATCTCTGACACTTCTATTATAGAGAAAGAGTAAATAGCAATATTAAAGTATTTCCTCTAATTAATTCCCTTTTAATGCACCGGGCCACTAGTATTTAAGAAAGGTAAAAACAATAACTGAAACAGATTAATTCAATTTAAATTATTTCTAATATGAAAACATGATTTTAATTTTTAAACAAATTGCTTCTTGAGCAGTCTCCCTGAGTGAATTAAAGAACTGAGGTTCCACTATACTTAGCATCTAAAAAATGTTAAAGGAGGACATACATTTCCTTTCTTTCTATTTTTTATTTTTTGTGGCATGATGATTTTTCTGTAAGAAAAAGTTAGCTTGCCACTAGAAGTTGAAATACTTCAGTTTTTATTATAAAGTAGGGCTCCATTATTAAATCATATACAATATTTATGCTATAACTATACATGTTTTTGTTTCTGAATAAAATCTGCTCTCAATAGAAAAATGGTAGTTAAAGAGTTAACAAGTAAAGAAATAGAAAAGACCAAAAGTAAGGAAAAGAAATACCTATTATTGATTTTTTTTTTAGAATTAACTAAAGTTTCGATTTTTTATTTTATTTATTTTTTTAGGAAGTGAAAGCTTTGTTCAAGAATGAAAATTGCCCCAAGGTGATAAGCTGTGAGTTTGCACACAATAGCAATTGGTATATCACTTTCCAGTCTGACACAGATGCACAACAGGTGAGAATAAAACTTTTCTTCTAATTTCAGTCCTAGTGATAAAAGAAGTGGTATATTTTAATTGAGAAAATATATGCTTACAGCACTGTTTATAAAGATTCTTGAGCAACTTCATCTTTTTGGTTTTGCTGATTAATGGTTTTATTTTTGATCATCTGTTTTAATTTGAGAAATTAATTTCTATGAAAAAAATTACATATTAGTAGTTAGTGTTTCTACTACATAGGCCTACAGTAAATATGTTAACTTTCTGATTCTTGAAATTGTGATACTATGATTTTACACTTAATGTCCTACTTAAAAGTGTTATTCCTTTGAAACAGAAACATGTCTAATAGCATTTTAAAACCTCTTATTGGTTTTTGTTATTTCTGTTTTTGGTACAAGGGTTGTTGTTTTTTGTTGTTGTTGTTGTTGTTGTGTGTGTGTGTGTGTGTGTGTGTGTTTTACTTTGTCTTTTTCTATTAATCCTCGCCCAAGAATATTTTTCTGTTGATCTTTTTTTTTCTTCTTTTTTTAAGAGTGGAATGAAACGGGAGAGACAGAGAGAAAGAAACATCTGTGTGAGAGAGACACATTAATTAGTTGCTTCCTGCACATGCTCTGATTGGGGCTGCAATCAAGCCTATCACTGAGGTAGTACCAGCCCTGGACTGGAATCAAACCCAACACCCTTCAGTTCACAGGCCAATGCTCTATTCACTGAGCCAAACAGGCCAAGGCTTTTTTTTTTTTTTTTTTTTTTTTTTTTTAATTTTTATCTTGGAAAACTGTCTTATTGAACCATTTAAAAAAATATGTTGCCCAACCAAGCATGGCTCAGTGGTTGAGTGTAATCTATGAACCAGGAGGTTCAGGTTGGATTCCCTGTAAGGACACATTAGGGATGTGCAGGAAGCAGGTGATCAGTGATTCTCCCTTCATCATTCTCTCTTCATCATTGATGTTTCTGTTACCTCTATCCCTCTCTTTTATTCTCTGAAATCAATATAAATATATATACATTTTTAAAAATTAGTGACATTTTGGGTCTGTTTTGAATTGTGTGCATTTTATCTGCAGTAATCCATAGTAGCTCATCTACTGTAAATACGAACTATAGCTGAGACCTTTTTCATTCCATATCACCTGTATAATGGGATCACCTTCATTATTCTTTTATTGTTTAGAGATAGTTGCTAATACCAAACTCAAGATAGAATAAAGATGGTCCTTCATGAAATATTTGAATGCTGATGAAAGTTCCTTTCTGTTTTGTTAACAGGCTTTTAAATATTTGAGAGAAGAAGTTAAAACATTTCAGGGCAAGCCAATCATGGTAAGAAACATTTGTAATTAATACTAGCAACTAACAAGGAAGATTTGAGGATTTTAAAAACACAAATGGATAATATTTTCTAAAACCTATAATGATATTTAAGAAATTTTTTACTTATGTGACATGTTACTTCAGAAAATTAGTTATGGGACATTGAAACATTTTATATACAGCAATTCTTTTCTAAAGCTTAACTTCATACAGTAATGAAGTTTTAGTTAGATAAGGTAATCCTAGATTTGTGGGCATGGCTTGTGGGTGTGACGGAGGTATGGTCAATTTACATATTACTCTCTTTTTTTTCCTTTTTTTTTTTACATATTACTCTTATAAGATAAGCTTATATGTCAGACACTATTCTAAGAACTTGACCTATGTAAATCTCATTGCTATATGGAAGATGCTATTATTACTTTTTATATTACTGAAAAAGCTCTTTGCCAGTTGTCAGATATCTTACTTCCTCTGCCTCTAAGGCTCTTCTCAATATTATCTCCTTTCCCTGGTTGAGGCTATAAAGATTTTCTTTTGGGTCTCCTAATAGCTTTTAAGTTTTATACATTGGAGTTATGACTTAGAAACATCTGAAATTAATTTGATACAATATAAGATGGTCTAATTTAATTTTTTTCTCTAAAAAAATAAAAGGAAATTCATTCTCAACAGTTACTTGTTGAGTGGTCTGTCCTACAAATTATGTATAATCTTGCATGTGTCATATCTGTTTCAGGTTCTCTATTCTGCCACTCTCTACTGAACCAACATTTCTGTTTTAATTATCATAGTTTTAGATAGCCTTATTTCCTTATGCAAGTTGTCCCTTCTCATTGTTATTTTTTAGGATTGCCTTGAAACCACTAGAGGCCTGGTGCATGAAAATTCATGCACTGAAGGTGGGGGGGTGTCCCTCAGCCTGGCCTGTTCTCTCTCACATTCTGGGAGCTGTCAGGGGCAGGAGGCAACCCAGTGATCAGAGGAAGGCAATGCCCCATTACACCTCTGCTGCTGCACTGCTGGGAGCACAAGCCTTGGCCAGCCCTGGTTACCTGAGCCTAGGGTGGCCCTGGGTGTCTGGACAGCCACCATCTGATGCTTGCCTGCACTTTTGGGTTGGCCTTGGAGGGCTGAGGGGATTGGGGGACTCCGGAGGCAGTTGTGCAGAATGGCCAGGCCCGTGGGCCACCTCAGTAGGGTTAAGGAGTCTGGGTGCTGCTGTCTACTGGCTGTGGGCACTGCAGTCTTCGAGGGTGGGGCAGTCAGCATATTCCCTCCTTATTGGCTGTGGGCACCAGCTTTGTGATGGTGTGAGAGTCAATAAGCATACTTTATCTTGATTAGATAGGATTACTTTCCCATAAGTGCAACCAAATAAAAACCATCTATAATAATAAAAGTGTAATATGCAAATTGACTTAGTGATCGAACAGCAAAATGACCATTTGCATGACCTTCCGGATGAAGCCAGGGGTCCAAGAGCCAAACCCCTTACATTAATTTCATGCATCCGGCCTCTAGTCTATATATATGCGTGTGTGCGTGCGTCTATTATGCGGTCACTATGACACTCACTGACTACAGAGGGCAGACTTTCAATACAGAAGTTGCTGAGCTGCAGTGACTTGGCAATGACAGTGACTTGGCAGTGACGGTTCTTGAGTGACGCACCCAGAAAATAGAGAGGAGGGAGCCTGATTCCTCACGGGCAATGTGATTTCACCTTCAGCCATGGTTATATTGTTGCTGGGGCACTGTGGGCCCTGAATCTGGTTTATTGCACACTTGAATTTGCATTCTACACCCTATCCCACAGCAACTTTGCAGTGCCCTCTCGCATTCCAGGACCCTTTGGGGGAATGTCAGAGCGTTGGTTTCAGCCTGATCCATGTAGGCCAGGCAGAGGGACCCCACCTTCTGGAGGGCCCACAGGAGGTTGGCTCTAGGGCGTGTCAGGCCCATTTTGCCCAGTCCTGCCCTGCCAGCCACCTGAAATGAATTTTCTTTCAATGTGCATGAATCTGTACACTGGGTCACTAGTCTTACCTAATAATTGACAAACATGTAGATCGACTTTACCTCTGCTACGTCCACAGCCAATCAGGAGTGGGTATGCAAAGTAACGCAACAAAGATGGTGGGTTAATTTGCATATGCAGGCATGGAGTGGCCAGGCATGGCAGGGCACCTGCTATGAGAGGTGGGGGCAGGTGGAGGGAGTTACAGGAGCGGTGCTCTGGCCGGGAGCAAGGACTTGCCAGCTCCCGGGCAGCTGGTAGTGAAGCCAGGAGAAAGAAGGCCTATTGCACGAATCTTTGTCAATGGGCCTCTAGCATTGAAATAAATGCAATGCATTTAATATATTGCTTATGTCGGTGACAATGACAGTTTTACTCTACATTATGCAACATTATAACTTCGTAGTGAGAATATTTCTCCGTTCATTCAGGTCTATTATGTTTTTTAATTAATTCCATAAAATAATTTTTGTCACTTTTCCTCCCTCTCCATTGTGTCTTAGTGATTAAAAAATAAACACCACATTATTATATGTAGCAACCTTGCCTAACTCCTTTATTATTACATCTAGTGGTTTGTTGGCTGTTTGGATTATCTGTCTGAGAGATCATATAATCTATAAATAGTATTTTGATCCTTACTCTAATTTTTATAACTTACTTTTCCTAAGATTTCAAGTGTAGTGGAAAATGTATACATATTTTATTATAAAGTATTTTTCTTTTCCCCCTGGCATTTGGTGTTTGTGGTTCTTTTGATTAGTCATCACAGCAGTGTTCTTTTTTTTCCTTTCTTTTTAAAAAAAATATATTTTATTGATTTTGTACAGAGAGGAAGGGAGAGAGATAGAGAGTTAGAAACATCGATGAGAGTCATCGATCAGCTGCCTCTTGCACACCCCCAGCTGGTGTGCCCTTGACCGGAATCGAACCCGGGACCTTTCAGTCCCCAAGGCGACCCTCTATCCATTGAGCCAAACCGGTTTCGGCAGCAGTGTTCTTTCTAAGAGATTCGCGCATTCTCATTAATTTTCATATCATTCATTAAAATCGACCTAGCCCCTAGAAAGACAGGTGCAGGATCTAGAAGTCCTATATGACAGCCCTTGATGTTGTTTTCAGTTTTAAGCTCTTGATCTTAGAAGTGTCAAGTTACTTCTGAGGTCTTGATTTATTTCTTTGAAATGCTTATGCTTTTCATTTCTGAAGTCCTGTGATTCAAAAGCAGTGATCATAGAGTACAAAGAGACAAAATGAATAATGTTTGTCCATCTATTTCTGCATATATTGGTAATTTCATTAAGAGGCAGTGCTTTGTCTCATTTCAGTTGGCTTTGGTAACTAGGAATATTAAATTTTATCTGGGTATCATATAGATGATATTTCAATAGAAAATATTTTCTTATATTTCTGTTGTATATTTTATTATTTCATAATTTCAATCTTAAGAAAGTCAATATTAAATAATTAAGTCCCTTTAGTCCTTTTCACCAGAAGTGACAAGAGAGCAGTTTTTTTCTCTTTATATAAATGGGAATGTACAATAGACATTCATCTACTTCTTTCACATAATAGAGCATCAGCATCTCTTCATTCACTATTGTTTTGACTATATACTACTTCTTTGTTCATGCACATCATGATTTATCCATGTATAAACATTTAACTTGTTTATAAATATTAATAGGAAGGTAATAGGCTAGTTAAACCAAGCATCTTCTGGACATCATTCCAGACATCCTTCCTGACAAAGCTGAGCTGGAGGGAAGGCCAGCCCGAGTCCCAGGTGTTGAAGGGAAGCCGGTACCAGCAACTAGGGGAAGAAAGGCCTACTCTTGCATGAATTTTTGTGCATAGGGCCTCTCGTTTGTTTATAAATAACTAGAGGCCTGGTATACAAATTCATGCACCTGTGGGGTCCCTCAGCCTGGCCTGTGGGATCAGGCCAAATCCAGCTCTCCGACATCCCCAAGGGGTCCTGGAGTATAAGAGGGCGCAGGCCAGGCTGAGGGACCCCATTGGTGTATGATTAAGGCCAGGGAGGGATGCAGGAGGCTGGCCAGCCAGAGAGGGACCAAGGGAGGGCTTCAGGGTGTGTCTGGCCCATCTTGTTCAGTCCTGATTGGCCAGACCCCAACAGCAACCTACCTACTGGTTGGAGCATCTGCCTTCTGATGACCAGTGCATGTCATAGCAAGAGGCAGCTGATCGATGATTCTCTCTCATTGATGTTTCTAACTATCCCTCTCTTTTCCTCTGTAAAAAATCAATAAAATATATATTTTTAAAAATAGTAAGAAAGTTGGGTTGTTTTGAGTTGTAGGAGTTCTTTATATATTCTAGATATTATTCCCTTATCAGATACATGATTTGCAAATATTTTCACCCATTTTGTGAGTTATCTTTTTCTTTTTTTAAAATATATTTTTACTGATTTCAGAGAGAATAATGTACTGCATACACTTAAAGTGTGCATTCTTGAGTTTGAAGTAGTATCTTTTAGATCCATTTGGTTATAATGTTGAAGATCTCTATTTATTGCTCTTCTGATTATTCATTATTGAAAGTTGGTTAATAAAGCCTCTATTGTAGAACAATATTTTTTCAATTCTGACAGAGTTTGCTTTTATGTATTTAAGGACTCTTTTGGGGTATATATATATATATACACATTTGCAATTGTTTTCTATTTTTGCTTAATTGAATCTTTTATCAATATATAATATCCTTTCTCTCTTGGAACCTTTTTTGACTTAGTATATCTTGCATGATAATAAAGCCATCTTAGCTGTATTTTGGTTACTATTTGCTTGCATTTTTTTTTTTTTTCTTGCATTTTGTTGCTTTCAATGTCTCTGAATCTAAAATGAATCTATGATAGCACATAGATGGATCCTTTTTTAAATTCAACCTGCCAGTCTCTGCGTTTTAGTAGAGTTTAAGCTGTTTACATGTAAAGTAAATTACTAATCAGAAGAGATACTTCTGC